TCTCGTCGTCGTCGTCGTCGTCGTTGTCGTCGTCGTCGTCGGCTTCATCGTCGTCGGCGTCGTCGTCGTCGGCGTCGTCGTCGTCGGCGTCGTCATCGTCCTCGTCGTTGTCATCGTCGTCGTCGTCGTCGGCGGCGGCGTCGTCGTCGTCGGCGTCGGCGTCGGCGTCGTCGTCGTCGTCGTCGGCGTCGTCGTCGTCGTTGTCGTCGGTGTCGTCGTCGTCGCCGTCGTCGTCGTCGTCGTCGTCGTCGTCGTCGTCGTCGTCGTCGTCGTCGTCGTCGTTGTCGTCGTCGAAATCGTTGGTGACGTCGTCGGTGTCGTTGTCGTTGTCGGCGGTGTCGTCGTCGTCGTCGTCGTCGTCGTCGTCGTCGTCGTCGTCGTTGTCGCTGTCGTCGTCGGCGTCGGTGTCGTTGCCAAGTGCCATGTGGTACCTACCGTCACGGTCTTAAGAGGTCTTGCGACCAAGTTGCGGGTGGGAGGTTGGGATGTTTGCACGAGCAGTGGAGAGGACAGCTTCAAGTTGAGCAAGTGATTGATTACACCACATAGATAGCATCACGTACATCCCACCATGTAGATAGCACACCATGTATTCCACCATTTAGATTGCATCGCGTCGACTGCATCGCTTATGTTGCGCATCACATAGATTGCGCCACATATATGGTACCACTTCCATTCTCCGATCTAAAAGTGGAATTTGGATCTACCCCCCCGAGGCAGGGGTTGCAGGGGTTATCATTCCACATTGGGAATGTGCAGTGCACATGTGATTCTGCCCCGTCGATCATTGTAACGATGAAGTCATACAATCCCAGCCAAGCTCGGTTTTACCTCCCCCAATTATCTTCGTCAAATGATACTATGCGCGCAAATTCGTGGATCAACAGTTTTTAATTTGCAAGAGTCCCTTGCAAACAATGGGACGAAGTGCACACGCGCGCGTCGTCGCGCGCGCGCATGCCGAAATCCAAATCATGCCAGGATGGTTGGGTCCAGATTCTGTCGGTGCTTCAGAATCTACCCTCTGGGCGGCTCGAGGCTCCCCCCCTCGTCATCGCCCTCCGCCGTCTCTTCTGGTCATCCTGGGGCCATTTTGGTCACCTTTGGGGCCAGATTCTGGTCATCTCGGGGTCGTGAGATCGTCCCAGGGCCATCATAGGACCAGCTCGGGATCGCGGGATGGTCGTATGGGTCATCTCAGTGCCTCGGGGTCGCAGTGGGATCATCTCGGGGTCATTGGGAGTCATGGGCGTCTTGGGGACTATGTTGGGGCGACGGGGCTGAGTTGAGGTCATCTCAAGGCCGGCCTGGGTGGTCCTGGAGTCCTCCTTGAGCTTCCCAGGGTCAAGTTGGGATCATGCTGGGGTCGCAGATTTGCCCTGGGGTCATCGTGGGATCGTCGTGGGGCCATGGAGATCTCTGGTTCACGGGGCCACCACCCTGGGGTTAGCTCGCGGTCGAGTGGCCGCGGTGGGCCCCGTTGCCCCCCCTCCAAGTGTTGCTCGGAGGCCAGCCAAGCGGCGCGAGTCTCACCAACTGTGAGGGGGAGTGGGGACGAGGGCTGCGTCTGCACGTCAGTCGTTTCCCTGTCCTCCTCCAGGGGTGGATCTTCGTCACCAGTCTGCTGCGCCGCGCGCCAGCCCCCCCCCGCCTCCCCCCGCCTCCCCTTTTCCCGTCTCCCCCGCCTCTTCTCACTCCTCCTCCGCCTGCTCCTTCTCGGCATTCTCCTCGGACGGACCGTGCCCCACGGGCCGCTCCACCTGCCGCCCCAATCGGCAGATCTGCGTGCGGGCCCGCGCCCGCTCTGCCACACCACTCGGACGACTCGTTCCTCCTCGTGTGGAGCTCCACGTGCGGCCGGCCAGCGCCCCTTTCAGAGCTCTCCTCGCGTGGATCGTCTCCCAGGGGGGGCACCCGCCACGACCCGTGTGGGCAAGCTTGCTCGTACTGGTTTCCCCTACCCCTGCACAGGCTGCTCGCCGAGTTACTGCCCCACTCCCGGCTGCACCAGCTTGCAGATTTGGTATGTTGCCCACCGCGCTTACGTCGGAGTTTGTTCGCGTGCTTGCTGCTCGTTCATCATCGGGACGCTGCAATCCATGCCGATCGAAGGCCGCCCAACGTCAGAGAGGAGGTGGAGGAGGACCTGGGAGGAGGGATGCACAGAAGCGCATCCCATGGCCAGAGGCCGCCGCGCCATGCAGCGCCTGTCGGCCCCGTTCAAGGAGATCAGCTTCCGGGAGCCGACCTTCGGGGCCGCGTGCCCACGCCCTGCTGCCTCTCTCTCTCTCCCACGCTTCTCTCTCTCCGTCCCTCTCTCGCTCCTCCCTCGCTCCTCGCCCCCTCGCCCCCTCACTCCGTGCTCCCGCTCCCTTCCTCCTCCCCCCCTGCCCCCTGCTCTGTCCCCTCCCTGCCTTCTCCCGCGTGGCGACGACTCTGCCGCTGGTTGTGCTTCTCTGCTGACATCGATTGCTGCGGCGGCCACACAGCACGGCGGCTTGGGACGACTGGCAGCGAGCAGTGCTGGGCGTGCGTGCCGTCTGCCGGCGCTTGTTTCTTCCGTGTTCCTCTCGGACCTGCCTCTTCGGAGGCAGGCCAATCCGTGCTCCATGCTCCTCCCTCCCTCCCTTCCTCCCTTCGGCCGTGTGCTGAACGGTGCGACCAGAAGGGCGCCTGCGGACTTCAGGCCCGGCCCACGGTTCGTATATCGGAAATGAGGCTTGCTACGCTGCTCGACTTGGGATTCGGTCTCTGCTTTTCCACCCACGCGCGCCCAGCGCCTGTCGCGTGCCGCCGGCCTGGCAGTCGCGCTCGCGTCCGCCAGCGCTGCCGACCCCAGAAATCGGGGTGGCCCAGGGCTTGCCTCGGAATAGTGCAGGCCCGGGCTTGTTCCAGAAAGTGTTCGGTCCTCGAGGAGGGCTCCAGCGGGAGTCCAGCATGCGTTCTCTTGCACAGGGCGTCTAGAGCTCCGACCACTTTATTCCGCGTCGCCCCCCCCCCCCTCCCCGCGCGTCCCCAGCGCCAGAGTGTGACCCCCGCGCCGTGGCTCTCTGCCTCGAGCCCCCCCGCGTCCCCAGCGCCCCAGCGGGGGGCCCGCCCACTGCCCCCTCCGCCACGAACGCTTTATTCCGCGTCGCACCCCCCCCCTCCCCCTCGTCCCGAGCGCCCCAGTTGGGCCCCCGCCCCGTGGCCCTCTCAAGCCCCGCCCAGTACCCCCTCCGCCCCGACCATTTTATCCCCCCCTCCTCTCCGCGCCCCCAGCGCCCCAGTGGGACCTCCGCCCCGTGCCCCCTCCGCTCCGAGCACTTTCTTCCGCGTCGCGACGCACACCACTCCCCCCCCATCCCCACATGGGATTTGGGCCCCGTTGTTGGGCCCCGAGGGGCGACGTCTTGCCCCCTCTTCCCCATCCTCCACCTCCTCCTCATCTCCCTTCTTTTTTTGTGCAGGAGTCATGGCACACGTGCCACTTGTTTTATGAACCAAGATAAACAACAATGTGCATTTTTTAAATTGCGGCCGAGCAGGCCGCTGCCCAATGCTGTGGTCTAACTCCCAAGCGCTCGTACCCGCTCTGCGGCGCCGAACGTGGCGTGGTGTGCCATGGCTTGTGGCAGTGTGAGGCATGCGCCGACGAGCGCGAGCAGCTTGCCACGGCCGCAGCGTTTGCCTAAGCACCCGGCGGTCCTGGTAATGGGGATCGCGTCCTGTTTCGCCCGTGGCATTTTCGATCACCCTGGGAGCTTCTGGCTGCCTGCGCGTTCTCTTCGGGCGGCCAGGATATCCGATCGGCTGCTGACAATCCGGGGGGCGAGAGCGGGGACCTCGGGTGCAAACTATTCTTTGACAATTCTTGTTTGTGGCATCCGCTTCCTGTGCTCAACAGGGCGGCGTAGGGAGCTTCAGTATGTGAATTCATCGCTTTTTCTTCAGTGTGTGGTCAATATCAGGATTCACTTCGACCCGAATGCGCTTATGACCTTGGCCTGGAACCCAACGGGCAGTTTCGTGGTCTCGGTACTTCTCACACGGACGAGGCAGCAAGAACTGGCGCGATGGCGCTCCCGCAGCCGTCGCAGACCAAGGTCGATCGTGTTGCTCGGTTTGTCACCATCCCGCGCTTTGCCTGTCGCCCTGCTGTCACGTTGCCCCCCAGGTGGCCCAGACTGAGCCTGGAGGGATGGCTGTCCGTGGACCCGTGCTTAGTGCCTAGTCTCAGGCCCAGGCCAACGAGCTCAGAGGCCCAGGACCTCCGCGCACTCACGCTTTACCGTCTTTTTACGCTTTACCGTTTTTTTGTTTCTCCTCCTCTCTTGTTTCAGCCGCCGAGCCATCTCGGACTCTCCCCAGTGTCCCCCCCTCGCCTCTAGTGGAGTGCGGGGGCTGGAGGGCATTGTCCTTTCCAGCGGGCGGGCAAAACTTTCCGCCCTCCCGTGCATGATTTTACCATTCTGCACGGTGTACGTCGGCGTCTGACTGTTTATGATGACATCGCGGCAATTTGTTGATGTTAAATGTATATTCCTCTTTCTCTTACTCCTCCTTCTCCTGTCCCTCCTCCTCTTCCCTCCTCCCCTCTCTTCTCCTCCAGTTCCTCCTCCTCTTCTTTTTTTCTTCTACTTCTTCTTCCTCCTATCATCATCATCACCATCACCATCACCATCATCATCATCATCATCATCATCATCATCATCATCATCATCATCGTCGTCGTCGTCGTCGTCGTCGTCGTCGTCGTCGTCGTCGTCGTCGTCGTCGTCACCATCATCAGCATCATCACCATCATCATCATGATCAGCATCATCATCATCATCATCATCATCATCATCATCATCATCATCATCATCATCATCATCATCATCATCATCATCATCATCATCATCATCATCATCATCAGCATCATGATTGTGGGTACCACGGGATTGCTGTCTCCTCGCAGGCTACTGTCGTGATTGCAATGGTCTGTGATCGTTTGTGCTCAAGCTTTTGGTGGTGCCATGGTCCTAGGGGACTGGGCACCTGCGCCCGTCGGGCTCCTGCGCGAGGCGATACGCGGCGCCGGCGCTGAGGCGGCCAAGCTGTTGCTCGTGCGGGAGACAGCGGCTCCCTGCCCGGCCTGTCCCCCGTGGCCGGGCTGTCCTTCGCCGGAGCCGGCGAAATGCCCCGAGCCGCCCGCCTGCCTGGACCTTGGCGTTGTGGTGGCGGCAGTGCGGGCTGAGCGGAGAGAGGGGGAGGAGGCGGCGCTGGGTCTGACAGCGGCCCTGTGTGTGGCTTGCTGGTTGCTGGGCTGGACGTGTGGACGCTGTCGGCGTGGAGGAGTTGCTGGGCGAGGGCTGCGCGAGCACCATGACTAGCCGGGCAAATCGCATGCCAGGGCGGAGGGTGCTCGTCCGCTTCGAGGGGGACACACTCCCACGAGCGAGTACTCCTGTGGCCGACCCACTTCGACGACACGTACGAGAGCTGGGTGATCCTCACTGCCGACGATGACTTGTACATCGAGCGGGTGCGAGATTGGACTTGGATCTACGACCTGACCGAGGGGTGGCCGCCACGGCTGCGGGGCGGAGTCGTGAGGTTCAGGACCCCGCTGACGGCGAACGAGGTGCTGGCGAAGGTGCTCGAGGGCCGGGACGAGGCGCTGAAGTACCGGGCCAAGCGCAGGCTGCCGGAGCGCCTGTGCGGGCGGCTGGGCGAGGAGCCGACCACCTTCCTGGACTGGCGTGGGCGCGAGCTGGTCGTCGAGGACAGCGTGCTGAACCGTGTGCGACGTCGGCTGACCAACGAGGTGGTGAGCTCCGAGCTGCGGCTGGCCGAGGCGAGCGGCGACGAGCTCGTCACGCGGCCCGCGCTGGGAGGCGCGGCGGACGGCGGTGCCGGGGGGGCTGGCGGCGAGGCGGGTGCTCTGGTGCCTGCATCGCCGGCTGCGGCCCCCGACGGCCGCGGTGGAGCTGTGCTCGAGGACGGCGTCTACGTGGTGGCGGAGGTGCGGGCCCCCAACGGCATGCAGCTTGGCGACCCCGTCGTCGGAGGGCAGGCCGAGAGCCTGGGCGGCTGCCGGGCCGTGGTGCTGCTCGACGACGGCGCCCGCGTGCTGTGCGAGAGAGTGGCGGCGGACGACGTGGACGCATGAGGCGGCAGGCAGGTGCGGCGCTCCGCAGCAGGCCGGGCGCGGCGCCGCGGGCCAGGTGGACGACCTGCGGGCGGAGTTCGCCGCGGCCGACGCCGGTGTCGACAAGATCGGAGGCACGGCGACGCCCGTGTCGGAGGCTGAGGCCGAGGGCGACGCGCGGGTTCTGTGCGTCGAGTGGGCGTCCGAGGGCGTCCGGTTCAAGACGTGGCGGAAGGCCGTGGAGGAGAGCACGCAGCTCACCATGGAGCAGTGCGAGCTCCGTGGCGCGTGCGCTTTCCTCCATCCGTGCCGCCGTTTTCTTCAGCACACGGGGGGCCCGAAGATGTGGTTGCTGTCTTTTTGCAGGGGGCACGGGATCTCGTCGAAGGATCGGTCCTGCCACGAGCTGACCGCGCTGGTGCAGGCGCTGTGGCTCGCTGGGACCTACGACGGTCTGAACCTGGGGGGCGTCGCAGCTCTGGAGTCGGTGGCCAGGCGCTTGGTGACGATCGTGGAGGCGCGCAGGAACGGGCCAGCGCTGGGCCAGGCTTCCTGGGAGAGCGCCCGCTACCTGACGGGGTCGTGGTCCCGTTCGACGTCGCGAGCCCCGAGCTCAGGTCGTTCGCGAACAGGGTGGCCAGGGGCGAGGCGGAGCGGCACCTTGCGAAGACGAGGGGTCGCGCTGCTGGTGCCCGGCAAGAGTTCGAGGAGACGGGCGCGGCGCCAGCGCTGGGCGGGCTGCCCGGGGCGAAGGAGGAGGCCAAGGGCGACCCCGAGGGCGCGGCGGCAAAGGCTAAGACCAATGCAAGGGCCGCCGCCGCCGCCGCCGGTGCGGGCGCCCTTGGCGTGGCAGGATGAGCGCCTGGCACGGGCCTGGGAGGTGGCCGACCACGGGCGCTGTAGACGAGGCCGGCGGCGCAGGGCAGCACTTCCCGGTGCCGCTCGTGGACCGGCTCGATTTTGACATCGGCGCAGGGCTGCCCAGGCGGGGCAAGCTGTGAGCGAAGCGGCTGGTGAATGACGCCATCGAGAGCTTGAGTTGGATGCGCGGCACGCGCTGGCGAGAGGCTGGCCGCGCGAAGCCGCGCCTGGCGACCGCTGAGAAGGTTGCCGGGCTGCGGCGCGACGCGCAGCGGGGGGCGCAGCTGGCCGCAGCTGGCTGGGGGCGTCCGAGCAGCGCGGGGCCCTCGCAGCGAGCTCTTCCACAGCTGCTGCGGGGTCACGCCCCCTGCGGGGCCGAGCCCCGAGCAAACCTGGCCTCCTTCGCGCGCGACTGGCTCGGCATCCCAGGCAACGACGAGGCGCTGGGGCCAGTGCGGCCCTATGCCGACCCTGTGCTGCGATCCAATCGAAAGGTGTATGTGGGGCGGGTGAAGAGACTCATACGGATAGGGCTGGTGCGGCTGGGCGCCAGTAAGAAGTGCGACGTGGGCGTGTTCGTGGTGAAGAACGACGGCGCGCAGCAGAAGCTGATCTTGGACTGCCAGGCGTCCGACAGGCAGTGCGTTGCTCCCCCGAGCGTCGGCCTCCTGACGGGCGAGGGGCTGAGCCGCGTGGGGCGGCAGGCCGGGGGGCGCGGGGCCGTGTGCCTCGGGGCCTCCGACGTCGAGGATTGCTTCCACAGGCTGAGGTTCCCCAAGGACTCCAAGCTGGACGAGTATTTCGCCTGCCCCTAGGTCTGGGCCTCCGAGATGGGCCTCGCCTGGTGGGAGGGCAAGCGCCTGCCCTACGACGTGGCCCTGTACCCGCTGGTGCAGTCATGCCCATGGGATGGGCATGGGGTCTCTACTACGCCCAGGAGGCCAACGTCAGGCAGGTGGAGCCGACCACGGAGCTCTCCAGGACCCAGCTTCTTCAGGGCCGAGGGCCCCCTTGGTGCTCCGAGGAGGCGAGGGCCCTGGCGGCCAGGGGAAGTATTGCAACGTGGACAACCTGGGCGTGCTGGCGGACGACGAGGACTACGCGCGGCAAGGGCTGACGGCGGTGGCCGAGACCTTCTGGGGCCAGGGGCCTGACGGTCCACGAGACGGAGTCTGCCTGCCAGTGCGGCGTTGCGCTCGGCGTGGAGGTGGACGGGCAGTTGGGCCGGGCTCGACCTACTGCCAAGAGGTTCTGGCGCGTGAGGGACTCCATCCAGGAGCTGGTGCGCCGCGGGGCCTGCTCCGGGCAGGAGCTCGAGGTTTTGGTCGGGCGCGTGGCGTTCGTGGCCCTGATTCGGCGGGGGCTGCTGTCCATCCTGCACGCGACCTACAGGTTCGTGAAGAAGCAGTACTTCACCAGGGCGCCGCTGTGGGAGAGCGTGAGGAAGGAGCTCCTCGCGTTCAGCGGCGCGATGGTGTTCTTGGCGGCGACGTGGGACGACGAGGGCTGCCGGGCGTCTACGAGACCGACGCGTCGCAGTGGGGTTTCGGCGTGGCCTACTCGCGGTGGCCGAAGGCGGCAGTCGCCGACGCCGGGCGGGTGCCCGGGCAGGCGCGGTTCCGCCTGGGCGCCGAGGCGGCGAGGAGCCACGCTTTTGCTGCCGCCGGGCTCGAGGAGCAGGAGGACGGGATGGTGCGGGCGAGGACCGAGCCCGCCGACGCGGAGGTGCTTGGGTGGGAGCGGGGCCAGGCGTTCCCTGAACTGCCAGCCCACCTCCTTCATGGGTCCCTCTGGACCACCGTGATGGCCGACAGGTGGAGGTACCAGGAGGGGATCATCCACCTGGAGGCCCGAGCCGTGCTGAAGGGGATCGAGCGCTTGGCCCGCAGCCAGCACGGGCACGATGCACGGGCCCTGTTTGTGGGAGACAACCTGGCGCTGACCCTGGCGCTGGGCAGGTCCCGATCCAGGGACTTCAAGCTGCTGGCCCTCATCAGGCAAGCTGGGTCGCTGGCCTTGTCTCGAGGCCTGCGTCTGGTTTTCCGCCGGGTGCCATCGGAGCTGAACAGCAGTGACAAGGGAAGCCGATTGTTTGATGAAGAATTTGACGAAAAGAAATATGCCACTTGGATCGCGTCTTGTGTCCCCGCGTCGCGCGTCGACAAGCGGGTTCCAGATGGAGCTGATATTGTAGGTCCGAGGGGATGTTCGAGGTGCAGGATCGGGGAATCTCCGGGCGAGTATCTCGACGAAGGTTCAGACAATCCGGAGCGTGAACGAGGCGAGCGAGAAAATGGAGCAGAACTAGGCGAGAGCAGAGAGCAACGAGAAGAGCGACAAGAGCGAGGGCACGGGGAGCGATCATATGATGAACGACGAGAGCGAGAGACACGAGAGGAGCGAGAGCAAGAGACAGCAGCAAGCCTAACATATCGCGCGAAGCCAGACAGCGAGCACGACCGTCCGTCATCCATGTGGCTCAACCTGCAGGGGCATGCAGGTGCATCGGGAGAGAACCCCGGCCAAGCCCGCGCCGATGCCCCAGTCTCGCGGGGCCGGGCGATCGCGAACGCTGGCCGCTGCGTCTGGGGGCCAGGCTCGGGCGAGGAGCCGGAGCTCGAGGCGTGCCCGAACGTTGACAGTTGACGAGGGCCAGAGCGTCGAGCCTGCCGGCGCGGCTGGAGGCGCCCGCGCTGGAGCCGACCGTCTCGCTGGAGATCGTGGCCAGGCAGGACCAGCCACCAGCGGGCGCCGCCTTGACTGTCGAGGACGGCGAGAGCGACTCCGCCTCCGAGGAGGTGCCAGCTGGGCAGCTGGGGCGGACCGCCGGAGCGAGCTGCTGGCCCGACAGCGGGCGCGGCGGCGCGTGGCTCGGATGGCCGGGGGAATTGTGACGAGGCTCCCTGGGCAGAGCGACCTGGAGGCCGCCAGCGTGTCCGAGGCCAGTCGAGTCCGATATCGAGACTGCGTGCGAGAGCTCCTGGCCTTCGACGACCAGGACAACATGGCGCTGCGCGAGGACGACCAGGTGGACGAGTGTCTCGTGTCGTGGATGAACATGCGGTGCCAGCTCGGGGGCGGCGTGGCGGGGCGAGTACATGGTGGCCGCCCTGATGCACGCCTTCCCGGGCTTCGGGAGTGGAGGGGGCCGGCGCCTGCCGCGGACCCTCCGGTGCCTGAAGGGATGGAGGAACTTGTGCCCGAAGTGCAGCCGCCGGCCTCTCTCGTGGGCGGTGTGGGCCGCCCTGGCGCTGGAGCTACTGAGGAGCGGGCAGGGGTGGGCCGGCTTCGGGGTGCTGCTGATGGTAGACGCGTACCTGGGGCCGTCCGAGCTGCTGAGTCTCCGGCGCGGGTCCCTGGTGCCGCCGGCGCACGGAGGGTTTCGAGACTGGAGCCTGCGCCTCTTCCCCCAGGAGGAGGCCAAGCGCCGCAAGGTCGGGGGCGCCGACGACACCGCGGTGATGATTTCCGAGCGGACGCGGTGGGCCGACCCAGTGCTGGCGCATCTGGCTTCAGGGCCCGCGTCGGAGAGGCCGTTCCCGTGGGGCTACCAGCAGTTTGGCAGGCTGGTGCAGGGCGCGGGGGAGCGCTTGGGGATCGAGGCGGTGCCGTGCCAGGCTCGGCACAGCGGCATCAGCCTCGACAGGGCGTTCCATCTGCGGACCCAGGAGGAGGCGATGAAGAGAGGAAGGTGGTCATCATTTCGCTCTGTCGTGCGCTACGAGAAGACGGGTCACCTGAACGATGCGTGGAGAAAGCTGAACCCAGACGTACAGGCACGCGCCCTCGTCTGCGAGGAGTGGCTGGTCGACGTGCACCTGCGAGGGGCCCCCCTGCCGGCGCGTCCGATCCTGTAGGGGCGACGGCGTGCTTCCTGGACCTCTTCTCAGGAGTCGGCGGGGTGGCGCGAGTTGCGCGGCTCTGGAGGCTCGAGACCAGAGAGTACGACCTCCATGGGGGCCCGGCAGGGGACCTCCCGAGAAATTGCGTCCAGGCTCAGGTTCTGGCCAGCCTGCGCAGAGGGCTGGTCTTGGCCGTCATGATGGCCCCGCTGTGCACCTCTTTTTCGTTTGTCCAGCAAGCAGTGCCCACGAGGCCTTCCTAGGCTCCCAGCCGGCAGGAAGGCAAAGGTGAGGCTGGGGAACCGTTTTCTCGATTTGTAATTCAAGTCGTACGCGTGTGCGTGCGAGAACGGGTGCCCTTCTGTCTCGAGCACCCGCAATCCAGCTATATCTGGCACGATGAGACACTGTGCCACGCTCTAGAGACTGCACACTCGAAGATCTGCGATACCCATTAGTGCCAGTTCGGCTCTGTGCGCAGGAAGGCCACCCGATTGGCCTTCGGCTGTTGCGATGAGCTAGACCTGGGGAGACTGGGCTGTCCTTTCGAGAGCCGATGCCATGGCGAGCGCGGATTTGGCTCCGCGACAGCGCGCAAGCATGTAGTAGTGGTAGAAGGGTCGCGGGCGACAGCGGCGTCGGCCGCTTGCCCTCCTCGGCTGGCCGGCGCCCTGGCCGGGGCTCTTCTCCCGGCATGTGTTCTGCGAAGGGAATCCAACAATTATTTGTGTCGCTGCGCTGAGAACGACCGATTCGGGCCTCTGTCTCGGCACGCGATTCGGGGTGCGTTTTTAATCGATTCTCCTGGCTGTGCGATGGGCCTCAAGGCCTTTTCAAACACCAGTTTTGCAGCGGTAGCGAAAGCCTCGGGCCCGGGTCCAGCAACAGAATCGTGCTCCGCTAGCCTCAAGAGGAATGCAGCATGATTGCGGGTACCGCGGGATTGCTGTCTCATCGCAGGCGACTGTCGTGATTGCAATGGTTTGTGATCGTTTGTGCCCGAGCTTCCCGTCCCAGCCCCCCCCACTTAACACAGGGTGTGTTTTGAATCGATTCTCCCTGCTGAGCGATGGACTCAAGGCCTTTTCAAAAACCAACTTTGCAGCAGTAGCGACAGCCTCGGGCCCAGGCCCAGCAACAGAATCGTGCTCCGCTAGCCTCTAAAGGAATACAGCATCATCATCAACAACATCATCATCATAATCATCATCACCGTCATCACCCTTATTATTATCATCATCATCATCATAATCAGCATCGCCATCATCATCAGATTCAGGGTAAAGATTTTTGGCAAAGAGTCGTCTGCCACGCCGCCGTCTCAGACCAGGGCCATCCTTCCTCTACCATCGATTTTACAGATATGTGATTGTCTACTGGCGGCCGCCCTCAATCCCATCATTGACAGTGCCTGCCCGCACCGTGCCGGCACGTTCGTGGGGGCGCGGCCCCGCACCCAAGTTCTCGATATCGCCCATGGGCTACACCTGGTCATTGAGAAGGCCCTGGATGGTCGCAGCCGGGGAGCGATAGCCCAACAAGACATTTAGAAGTATTACGACAGCATCGTTTTGATACTCGTTGCGGAGTGGTCGGTGAACAACGGGGTTTCGCATGCACTGGCGGCGTGCGCACTCAGGCAGCAGATGCTTCCAGTGGTCCAGCTAGGATTGGGCAGTCTATCGATTCCAATCCCGCAGCGTTCAAGGGGCTCTCTCACTGGGTCCAGGGTAGCTGGTGCAATGGGCCGCGTGCCGGTCGAGAGCACGATACGCGAGAGACATCAAGTTTGGGCGAGACATGGCTTTCAAACTGCAGGGTGCCGGCTCACTGTTGCTACGTATGTCGACAACATTTTCTCCGCAGGCGCTTCGCTCAACGGGGCGATCAATATTTTGGAAGACTTTGAAGCTCAGTTGGAATCGGTGTGGGACCTCAAGATCAAGCCTTCCAGTAGGACATGCCTCCTGCCACGAGGCAGCATGGGGGCGCCGCGCGATGTAGAAAAGTTGCCACTCAGTGCTGAATTCTCTGCCTTGGGACATACACTTCAAGACAACGGCTCCACTCAGACGTGTTGGCAACGGACGTCGAGATCGATGTGGAAAGCGTACTTCGGGAACTGCGCCTCCAAGGTCGCTGTGAAGATGCCCATGGGTCTCCGGTGCACCCTCATGGACCGATCTGTGCTGCCTATCATGCAACATCGCGATACACGGTGGCCGCCGACCGCCTTGAGGCAAATGCAAATCGACACGGTTCAAAGGAAGATGGTCAGTTCCATCATGCGGCTCAGCCCACATGTCCATGAGGGCCTGGTGGAATATGTGCGAAGAAGAAACAGACACGCTACGACAATTATGAGCCAGAAAGGAAGATGGAGCATGAATCATTGCAAGCGAGTGGTCGATTGGAGTGAGCACTCGCAGAGACCCCGGAACAGTAACTCATGGGCCGCCATTCTCTTGCAGTTTCGTGACTCCGAGTGGCTCCAGACCCAGCGGCTGTACAATAGTGCTGGTTCCGAGAGCCGCGCGCGCACCCGTGCCTTCCGCGGCTTCGTCGCGATGCGATGGCAGGACGGAGCTAAACTTGCAGCGCAGCGGTGCTCTCGCTGAGCGTTGTCTTGTGAATGAGTTCTTGTGAATGGTGTCTTCGTGTGGCCAATGCGCTGCCGAGCTTTTGGGCTGATATCGCCCCAACTGTACTGTACTGTGCACCATCATCATCAACAGCGTCATCATCACCACCATCATCACCACCCGCATCACCATCATCATCATCATCAGCATCTCTCGTCGTCCTCTTCCTCCCCCTCCTCCTTCTCCTCCTCCTCCTCCTCCTCCCTCTCCTCCTCTTCCTCCTCCTCCGCCTCCTCCTTTCTCGTTGCGTGCTCTTGTCGGGCCCTCAAAGGCTGTGCCCACTCTATTTCCCTGGTGGCATCGAATCTCAGGTAAGCTGTGCGCTAGTTCTCGATCTCTTGTTCACTACGCACCACAAAATTCGGAACCTGCAGAGAGGCCTGCAGGGCGCGAGGCCTCTTCAAGCGCGGGCGAAGGTGCTGGCCGTTCGACATCCTGGCATCAGGCGCGTGCTGCAGGGAGGGACTTAGTGATGGGCGATCCCTCTCTCTTCTTTTCGCTTCTCTTGTCCGCTTTTCTCTTCTCTCTCTCTTGGTGGATGGCGACTCCTCCTCCTATCTCCTCCTTTTCCTGTTCCGCCTCCTGTGAAGCCATTTTGGCCCGAGGTGTTGGGTCCTGAACTTGCAAGCGCGTGCTTCTGAGCGGCTCGTGCTTGCGGGCCAATTTCGTTTCCGAGCGATCAGGCCCGTTGCAGCGGGCTGCTGCAGATGGGCCCACCGCCGTGCGTCTTGCCAGGGCCTCGTCTCCCGCGCTAGAGATGCAACTGTGGCTGCGATGGCAACCGGGCGCCGCGCGTGGTCTGCGGGCAATGGCAAGGCAGCGCCGCGCCGAATCTCCCATGCTTCCGAGACTGCAGCCAAAGCAGCGGCGGTGCCCGAGCAAGGTAGCCCCGGGCGTGAAACTCGTGGCACCTAGGTGCAAGGAGCGCCCAACTCAATCGAGTGCCCGCTCAAGGCCCTGGAGGCCAAGGTTGCGACGCTTCGTGTCTTTGACGGGCCCGCAGGGTCCACGGGAAACTCGAGCGCGAAGGGGAAGCCGCCGTGGAGTGGCAGGGAGTTTCAACAAGTCGTTGGCGGCGGCTTGAGCAACGTGCGCGGACGTGCTGGGTACCCTCAAAATCCAAGGGTTTGATGCGACGGCCACTGCGGCAGTCGAAGGGGTGGAGAAGAAGGCTTCAATTGTCGAGTTCAATGCCCCCAGTGCGCGCACGGCGACTTGGGCCGTCGAACACACCGCGCCAATCTTGGCAACATGGGGCTGTGGGCTGCAGCGTTGGGTCTGCAGAATATGGAGTTGGAGTTCGAACCCGGTGAGGTCCAGTCCAACAGTGCGACCACCAAGGTGGAGTTGGGCAAGTCCGAGGAGCTGCTCGTCAAGCTCCAGGCTGTAGGGCTCGGCGATTCCCGCGAGGCTGTCCCAGCGAACCTCGACGTCGCCGACGTAGAGTCTCTGGTGGGCACGGATGCGATTGCGGTCCTCCAGGTCTTCAGGAGTAAACCGACCAGGCCAAGCGTGCTTCTCCTGCTGCAACTGGCGCTTTTCCCGCTGACGGGGGTGGCCCAGCTGCTGGAGGGACTGACACTCCTGTCGGCAATGGTGGCGAGGCCCCTGTCGAAGGCGACGGCGTCGACGTGGGCCCGAGGCAGGGTGGAGACCTTGAGCAGCGCCAGGCCGACTTCGATAAAGCGATGGGCGAGCTGCGCGGGGTTCCGCCAGCCGAGCAGGAGACCGCCAAGTGCTCCTACGCCCAGGCTGCGGCGGCCTTGGGAGTCAAGCGTGCGCGGCATCTTTGACCTGGGCGATGTAGGCATGGCTGACATCTCGCAGTTTTGGCAGGACAACAGCATCGACCTGGAGTGGCCTGGAGTGGCCTTGGCTGTGCCTTCCGCGAGACCTGAGCCGTGCTTCGCGTCCTCGATGGAGCGGCCGTGCCAGGCAGCCCCTCCCATGACAGTAGCTGCCTTCGCTCGTTCTGGCGGGGTTGTCGCTGAAAGTCGCGTGGGTGGGTCTACTTCCATTGGGCGCGTTTGCTTCCGACGCGGGGGGGGGGGGGGGGAATTTCCAGTTTGGAGGTGGGCGCCTGTGACGTGCGGCTTGCGCGTGCTGGTGGCAGTCGCGCTGACGGTCGAGGAGGTGGAGTCTTCCCAACGTGGGTGGGCTTCCTCTCAACGTGAGTGGGTTGATTTCCAATGTTGGGGTGGGTGCCGGCGATGCGCAGCCTGTTGGTCTCCGGATCCTGTGCGCGCGTGCTCCATCCCGTGTTTCGTGGGCAGGGCCTGGCAGACGGCGCCGACCCCGTCCGCGAGGGAAGGCGCGCGCTGGTCACCCAGCCTGGGCT